TCTACCACAAGTGGTGGAGGCTTCCCGCATGACCAAAGGGAAGTCTCCAACCAGGCAAGTCCTTGTTATCCTCAAGGGAGCCCCAATCACCACCCTTGATTTGGGTAACTGGGGCTCATACAAGCTCAGGACATATGTGCCAGAGCCCTTGAGGTGTTTCACGTGCCAAAAATTCGGGCATCACCAGGCCAACTGCAAGGCCAAAGCCAAATGTGGTGTATGCAGCGAGGCACACGAAACGGAAGTGTGTATTAAGGCACACAAAGATGGCCAGAAGGACACAACAGCCAAGTGTCCAAACTGTGCCAAAAAAACATCATGCCTGGAGTCTGGCTTGCTCTGTCAGGAAACAGGCAGTGATTAAAAAGCAGGAGTTAGCCAAAAAAACGTCCTGACTTTGTCCCTGCGCCCCCAGGTACCTATGTCTGGGGTCAAAACAAAAAAACAAAATAAAAAGGAGAAGACTCCCCGACCTCCTAAGAGGAAGGAGTCGCCCCCACAGAGAAAATTGGATACCTCTAACAGAGAGGAATTCCCCGAGCTTGCTAGTGGCAAAACCACAAAAAAGAACCAAAGGGAAAAAGGTTCAAAGTCCACAGCAATGGTCCCCCAGTAGATGATAATCTTTTCTTTGACGAGAAAGATATGACTCTCCTGTTGAGTGCTGTAGTTTCTGCAGTAGCAACAGCCTTGGGGAGGACCAGTGAGGAGGCGGAGAAAGCAGTGCAGGTCGCCATGACGGCTATGACCCAAACTGTGGCGGCTCTGAAGGGAAGGAAGCTAGAAGCCTCCAAACCGATAACGAGCAGCGCTCCCCTCCCCAAATCCTCGGATGACAGGCTAGCTTCAAAAGAAAAATCACATAAAACCCCAGCTAGTCTGTCAGGACAGGCTGAAACTGTGCAGCAGGCCGAGTCTGTACAGCCAAAGTCTCGTCCTCCGACCCAAGGTGACACTTCCAACCTAGGCCCTACACCCCTGGTAAGGCCTTAACCGGAGTGTCTGACTTAGAGGAAGTTGTACAATCCTCAATCAATGAGGATCTGTATTTATCTGATGCCACCAGCACTGGGCATCGGAAGATGAAGCAAATGACACTGAGTAACCATCATGGCACACAATCTAAGCATACTGCAGTGGAATATCTGTAGCTATAAAAGCAAGAACTCATTTCTCCAGTCCATTGTGCGAGCAAGGAGCATTGACGTCGTCATGCTCCAGGAGACACTAACAATGGGATCCGTGTGCTTCTCAGGATATCATGCCTTCACCACTCCAAACCTGGATGGTGCTAGAGGCCTGATGACCCTGGTAAAAGAAGCTATCCCTTGCTCCTTAATAGCCAATCCGCCGCACTGTGGAGATGGTGTTGAATCTCTTGCTGTTGAGATTCAGCTACCTGGGGGCTCTATAAAAATATACAATATTTATAGCAAACCACTGTGTGAGAGCTTAGATCTAAACCAGGTCTGTGCTACTGCAGCACAAGACCGAGTGATCATAGGGGAGACTTCAATGCACACATGGCCATGCTGAATCCCCGCAAAAGGCCGAACGCGGCAGGCATTCACATAGCAGAAGTGCTTGAGACATTCCCTGAGATCGCTCTTCTCAACACCAAAGAACCAACGCATGTGAAGGGAGGGGTCCTAGACCTCACCTTTGCCACTGCAACAATGGTGAGAGAATTCGATGGTGTGTTTGATGATACAGTTACTAGTGATCACTACGGCATAGTCACCACACTAATGGATGCAGGTCCAGCCCAAAGACCACATCACATTCCTAAATGGAAAACTGACAAGGCCAACTGGTTTGCCTTCCAAGAAGGCTTGGCTCGATGTCTGAAAGACAATGAACCCAATAACGATAATGAAGATGTGGATGTGCTAGAGGCAAGGCTAATCCAGGCCATAAACCAGGCAGCCTCACAAACCATTCCCAAAACTCGTCCATGGTCCAGAACTCACAAAGACGCCTGGTACTATAATGACGAGATCAAAGAGGTCAAACACAGGGTTAATATGTGTAGAAAAAACTTCCGACGGCAAAGATCTCCCGACAATCTGGCCCTGCTGAGGGAAGCTGTTGTGAATGCCAAGGAAACTGCCAACAGAGTAAGGCAGGAAAAATGGCTGGAATGGTGCCAGTCTTTTGGGTACCAGACCAGCCTTACAGAGTTGTGGAAACGGGTCAGGCAAGCGACAAGCCGCCAAGCCCCGAAATGCACTCATCATGACCCACAATCAGAGGCTAACAGATTGGTGCTTGAGTTCTCTGCCAGAACCAGCACCAACAATCTGCCTCCAATGATGAGAGAAAAACAACAAAACTTAAATCCAGAAAGACTTGCTCTCATAAGAGACAAGGCACTCGAAGCTGATGAAGCAGATGCCTTGTTCTCTCTTAGGGAACTAAGAAAATCATACAAATCCAGTTCTGGGTCAGCACCGGGATCTGATGGGATCTCTCACCCCATCATTTCGCATCTAGGCCTTGCAGGAGAACTTGCATTCTTGCAGGTTATCAACAAATCCTGGCAAACAGCCACGATGCCCCAGAGCTGGAAACAAGCCACAATAGTTCCCATCCCAAAGCCAAAGGAGCCTGGCAAGTACCGCCCCATCTCTCTTCTCAGCTGCCTGGGCAAAACAGCTGAGAAGATGGTACTCAACAGGCTCCGATGGAAAACGGGTCCCCCCCATGAACACCTGCACGGGTTCACAAGGGGTAAGAACACTGCTCATAGCATTTCCACACTCTTAAACACAATCTACACCTCGCCCGCCGTGGGTGTCTTCCTTGACCTGGAGAAGGCTTTTGAGTTGGCAAGTCCACTTGCCATTCAAGAGACCCTAATCCACAAAGGAGTCAAAGGCAGACTCTTGGCCTGGATAGCTGAGTATTTTAAAAATAGATCAGCAAATGTCAGATTTCAAGGCCACCTCTCACAGCACATGCCACTTGAAAATGGAACTCCTCAGGGAGGGGTCTTAGTCCAGCCCTGTTAATACCGTCATGTCCAACATACTCGACATTCACCTGCCAGAGGGATGCAAGATCATCTCTTTTGCAGATGACTTGGCAATCATAGCCTCTGGCAACCACTGCCTAACTAGGGCTCAGCGTTGTCTGAACCTGGTGTCTGAAGAGTGTTGTAGGACGGGTCTAAAAATATCAGCAGCAAAATCCAAAGCAATGGCACTGAGAACCAATGTCAGAAACAAAAAACTCACCATACAGGGTATGGATCTGGAATGGGTGAAGGAATATCTATACCTTGGTGTATGGATAGGACACACACACACTTTCAAAAAGGAGATCCAATACCTGCTTGACAGAACCAAGGAAAGACTGTCAGTCATGAAAGTCATGACAGGGAGACACATAGGAGCAGGACACAAAGTACTAAGATCATTCTATGTACATGCTGTCCGTCCTATTATTGACTATGCATCTGTCGCCCTCATTGCTTCCAGCACAACATTAAAAGAAAAACTGGAAACAATACAAAACGAAGCAGCCAGGATCATTCTAGGTGCACCTAAGTGGACAAAGGTCATCAACCTCCTCATGGAAACTGATTTACCGTCCGTGGACACTAGAATTGATCTAATGGCAGCACAGTTCCTTTCCAAGGTCCTGCAGGCACCCACAAACTCCTATTTAAGACAAAGAGTTCTCAGACGCCTACAACAAGATTATCAGTTGTTTGCAGACAATTCCTGGCTCACACATACAGCCAGAGTTTTGATACGCTTTCAACTAAAAGATTCATTGCTTGCCAAGGGTATGGACTCCCCCACCCTGATTACAAAGAACCCCCGCCGTGGGCAAACGAAATGATCGAATTCTCAATTCTAAATCTCACAATGAGAAAAGATCAATATTCCATGCCTAGCCTAAAGGCACAAGCACAAAGGGTCATTGAACAAATAACTCCGCCGGGTAGTATAACTTACTACACGGACGGATCCGTGGATCCAATAAACCATACTGCAGGCGCCGGCTTTGCAACAAAGGATACCACAGCATCCATTAGGGTCACTGACAATGCCTCAACGCTTCAGGCTGAAACGGTTGCGATCATGGAAGCATTGACACGCGTCCCTGAGGGGAGGGCACGTTGTCATTCACACAGATTCAAGAGCAACTATTGACAGTTTACAGCATAGCATGCCCCCAGATAACATCTACCTCTTGACAACAGTACTATACATAGCCCAAAGAATCCTTAGTCAAGGTAGAAGAATCATCATAAACTGGGTCCCAAGCCACATAGGCATACAAGGGAACGAGCTTGCTGATAAACTAGCCGAAAAGGGCAGGGGTATGCCCCCATCCTCCATGATCGTTAAACCCAGCCGAAGGGGACTGAGCCAAGGTACCAAAGCTGCAGCGTGTGCGGTCCTCCGGGGAGCACACAGAGAAAACATCACAAAATCGCTCGCTGCCAAGTGGTACTCAGATGCTTCAGGCTATGAGCCGCTGGCCCTTCCTCCAAACACAAAAAGAGGTACCGAAGTCATACTATTCAGACTAAGACTAGGTTACCAATGCGCTTGGCAAATTATTGACAGTGAGTCTGGGAGGTCATGTAAACACTGCGGCGAGCCTAACGCCACCCTGTTACATTACTTGCAGAATTGTGTACACACACAATTTCTGAGACAGGGACCCACCACCACAGCCGCCGGGCTGGTAAAAAGGGTGTGCAACATGCTCTCACCATGGCAGCTGGATCGCTTGCTCGCAATCCAGCCACCGCGGTAAGCATGCAGTTCAAAGAAAACATTTGAGTTAACTAGAAATAGTTAACACAAGCCGGGCCACCCCAGAGAAAAGGCCCGGGCGAAGCATGACTTCGCAAATCTAACTGAACTGAACTGAACGACTTCAATCCACTCCCAAGATCGCCCTCAAGCAGGAACCGACTCGCCCGTTGCATCGCTCGTCTGCGAGGATTCCGCTGCCTTTAATCCGAAGAAAACTCGAGTAAAATGAAGTTCGCCGGAATCGCCCTTGTGAGTGATTGCGTAATACGTCGATCGCGTTTGTCGGAATTCTTGTTGAAAAAGAGCGACTGAAATTTGTTTCTTACAAAAAGGAGTTAAAGATTCGATGTTCCTTCTTTCACCAAGGTTTCGTGATAATCCTGAAGATATTCCACGATGATGTGTAATACTGAAACCTATACAAGTGCTGCATTTTAGGAATCATTTGCTTCCATTCGTGTTTTTAAAATCAACATCTGAGATTTTTACTTTTTTTGATGATTATATCTACCCAATACCATGATTATTGTAAATGCTCAATGTATCATATCTATCAATGAATTACCATGCAATATATCAATTTTGATGGTATTCCCAAGCATCTGTATATTCATTCAGTAATTGTCATTACAAGTTCGATAGATCACATTACACACACATAGTGAATATTCGAGCCGACACATACAACCAGACAGATGTATACATAAGCGCCCTTCCGTTACACCTAACTGAAAAGTACAGTAAGGAAAAGATGTTTGCTCTTCTTTAATGGTTGTCAGTGGCACAGGTTCAGTTTCTTTCCCGGCGTTTATGTCTTCCAAACCAACTTGTCTCCTTCACATCCTTTTTGCGTCTACTTCACGCCATCACCATTTTCGTAGGATTAGTGTTCATATTAGCAGTCTTATAACCATTATTATCACAATTACTCATCATTGTTATTATTTTCATTATCATAATAATAATAGATATAATTATTACCATCATCATAATGATGAATATCACCATTATTGTCATAATGATAATAAATATGATTATCATTGTATCACCATTATTATTAGAAATATTATTATCATCATTATCATTGATATTATCATTATCATCATTATTACTAGTAGACTTTTCCCCCGTGTGACCCCCCCCCCCCCGCCCCCAGAGCGCCGTGGTGGTGGTCGTAGGACTCCTTCCAGCAGGGACCCGGGCCTTCCCCCTCACCCCCTACGCCCCTAGAGTCGTGATCCCGATCCTGAAGGACGACCGCTCGCAGGACGCCTACGGGGGCTACTCCTTCTCCTACGGCACAGGCAACGGCATCTACAGGGACGAGGTCGGCCGACAGAACTACGGCCAGGTCACGCAGGGAGGCTGGAGGTGAGTGGGGGAAGGGAGGAAGGGGGAGAATAGGGAGAGGGGGGGAAGGACAAGGAGATGGAAGTGGAAAGGGGGATGAAGGGGAGGAGGAGGAACGAAGAGGAAAAGGAGGAAAGGAAGGGGGAAATGACAGGTGGGGAGGAGGACTAGATGGAGAGGGAGAAAGGAGAAAATATTACTTAAGATGTGATTGTTTTATTACTATATCACTTTATTGTTCGCAGAAGTAATATTAATAATAGTAGTTGTAGTATCGTTATTATCATTATTGTCATTACCATTTTTATTACGGTTATCATTATCATATTGTTTGTAGCATTACCAATTATTGTCATCGGTACGACTTTCACTGGTTGTAGAAGTACTTTCCATTTCCTCATTAGCCTCACCATCATTATAACTACCACTATTGTTATCAATATTATCATTATCACTATCATTATCATTATTATCATTATTACTATTATTATTACATTATTAGTAGTATTGTTGCTGCGGTCATCATTATTATTTTTGTTCTTGTTATTATTACTAGTATTATTATTAGTATTAGTATTATTGTTACTGTTATTATCATTAGTTTTGTTTTATAATTGTTACAATCATTATTAACATTATCTTTACCTTTCTTATTATCATTGTTGCTGTAATTATTGCTTCTGTCGTGGCTGATTCCATTTACGTTTTATTGCCGTTATCAATGTCACCACCGCCCCCCCCTCCCAGCTACACCTCCACCGAGGGCGTCCCGGTCAAGATCACCTTCGTGGCCGACCAGGGGGGGTACCAGCCCTCCGGCAACGTGCTCCCCGTGGCCCCCGCCCTCCCCTACTCCAGGACGCAAGTCTACTGAAGAAGGAAAAGTGGAATGGAGAGTAAGGGAAGAAAAGACACAGAATTAAGAGAGAAAGAAGAGAATCGTTGGTGAAACAATGGCCGAAAAGAAAAACCGAAGCGGAGGAAACCAGGAAGAGAAAATTGAGGAAGAACAAATCTTTGAATCTTTTTCTCTCAATTCCTTGGCCTTTCACTTCGTTGTTGTTCTTTTATATTTTCTTGTTTTTTTCGAATCAAGTTACTTTTTGATATCCTCATGATTGCTTACTTTGTTTAGCTTCCCTTCTTGTTGTCATTATTTGTTTATTATTGATTATAATTATCATTATTAGTTTTTTAATTATTATTATAATAATCTTTGTCATTATTATTCTTATTTTAGGATTATTATTTTTAATATCGTTATCATTATCATCATTATTATTTTCATTATTCATTTATCATCTGTTTAACATTGTTTTATATTTTCGATGCATTTTGTTCATCCTTAACATGGAGTGAATAACGATCCAGTGCAACGTGTGTTTCATATTCATGCCTTTTCATTCATTATATATGCCTATCAAATTGTGTAGGAAAACTTACACTGTGCGTTATCTACCGGTCGAGAGATCTGACAAGTGATTATCAAGGAAAAGAAAACGTGCATAAAATAAGTTGCTTGGTTTTACTCTACATAAGGAGATCTGCATCGTGCAATCCTCGAGATTCTATCACACGTATTCACAGAAAAAGCAGAAGAGCTGCGTCCAGGATAACTGCAAAACCGTTCGTTACACTGCCAGCACAAGCACACATGCACACACACACACACATACATATATATGTGTGTATGCGTGTGTGTGCATATATATATATATATATATATATATATATATATATATATATATATATATATATATATATATATATATATCATTCCATAAGTTACCCCTATTACCTTGACCGCTTCTAGTATTTAAGTAGTATCATATATGGTATGATATAGTTAAGTCTACACTGAAATGACCATGCTCTTTGGTCAAGGTATATGTTTCTTTCTTTGGAATTCATAAACAATTTTACATTTCCGTTTTTTTTTTTTAACATATAAATGGGTACAGCTTCCATAGTTATTTGCAATAAAGCAAATTTTCATTATCTGATATGTATTAGAACAGCCACCTTGGTGTAAGTAAAGTCAAGTTACTTTGCGCTTGAATGTCTGCAGGTTCTAAGCGAGCCATGGCGCCCCGAGTTAGACGTGGGAAATTATGTTTGTATTTGCTTAAACATTACGCGCCTTGCAACACAATAGTTCATACTCTTAGGATTATTTTTATAATAGATGAATCGATGCCTAATTCACACATGACCTATGATAAGTGAATTAAGTGCGATCACGTGTCGCATCGTGGCAAAGACCAGCAAAAAATCCATCGGTTTCACGAATTACATTCTTGAATGGTATGATTCCTTTTTTACATTTATGTCGTGATTTTGTCTCCACTTGTATTGAAACTTTTATTTGTACACTCGTATCATACCGAATAGAGTAATTTAAATCAGAGTAAAGTTGCATGTGAAAAGATATATGTATATATTCATTTATTATATATATATATATATATATATATATATATATATATATATATATATATATATATATATATATGATATATATAGATCATACATATGTATATATATATATATATATATATATATATATATATATATATATATATATATATATATATATATGTATGTGTGTGTGTGTGTGTGTGTGTGTGTGTGTGTGTGTGTGGTGTGTATGTATGTATGTACATACGCATATATATATATATATATAATATATATATATATATATATATATATATAATATATATATATATATATATATGTATGTATATATATATATATAATATATATATATATATATATATATAATATATATATATATACTATATATATATATATATATATATATATATATATATATATATATATATATATATATATATTCACTACTGGCCAAAACCAACCAGCCACCTTTACAATTTTCGTCAAATCCTATTTCATTTTCCAATAACTCGGTTAGTAATGAATCAAGCTAGATAATATGGATAATATGAAATATTGTCAACATTTCATTAACAAGTGAATTTTAAATGTATCAAACTTATTTCTAACTGGTTTTGTATTTTTTTCTTTTAGAATTTTTTTGTTTTGACTCTAAAAGTTACAATTGACTACAGAAAATTTTGGTCAACTTGAGGAGGAAAAACTCACCAAAAAGCCTCTTTCGTATGAAGCCTCGCTTTCAATGGGATTCCTGTTGCCTGGATACAGCTGAGTACTTAGTCACTGACCACGTTCCAGCGATTTACATCTATTTTTCGTCAAATTTATTGCACTTCTGGATTTTTCTGATGAGTACACATTTTCATCAATAGCTTTATGCTTTTTGTTCTTTGAAGCTACAGTTTGCTTTAAATTGATCGACTTATTACCTAAAAACAGTTTTAGTCTGTATGGGCCTTTTTAATATGGACTTGTGTTTGCTTTAGAACATGGCTCCTGTACCTAGACTGAGCATGGAAGACAGGGTGAGAGTTGTTGTACTTCATGGAGAGGGAAATAGCTGCAACAAAGTAGCTCAGAAAATGAAAGTTGCAATATCTACAGTGCAAGCAATATTGAAGAAACACGGAGAAATTGGTACAGTAAAGGACAGGGAAGACAGAGGAAGAAAAAAAGAACAGCAAAGAAGACAGAGTCATCATTAAAGAGGATTTGCGAAACAGAAGACAAACATCGAATTCTCCGTCAAATGAGTTCAGAGAAACTTTCAATATTGAAGTAAGTGCAAGAACAGTCAGGACCCCAGGACATAGAACAGGGCCATATTCTTTGTAGGTAGGAAACGCCTTTTTCAAATAGGAAACGCCAAATTTTCCCTTAAACTTGTTAACGCTAATTTGCTGAGTTAGTTGTTGGGCTTAAATAAGCGAGCCCCGAGGTCGTTGCCCGGCTACCCCCGCCCCCCTGTCGGCGGTCCTTTATATCTGTATATATATGTATACATATGTGTATATATGTGTATATATGTATACATATATAATACCTATATTATATATATGTACACACATATATATGTATTTATGTATATGTATGTGTATGTGTGTGTGCGCCAGCGTAAGAGCCGCCCTCATGGAGAGTTCTGGAAGGAACAGAAGCTCACCAGCTGAGTAGGAAGGCGCTGTGGTGTCATTGCAGCGAACGGGTTTGCAGGTTTCCATTGGGGAAATTATGCGGACTTTTTGCAGTTATCCTGGACTCAGCTCCTCTGCTTCTTCTGTGAATACGTGCGATAGAATCTCGAGGGTTTTACTATGCAGATCTCCTTATGTAGAGTAAAACCAAGCTACTTATTTTATGCACGTTTTCTTTTCCTTGAAAATCACTTGTCAGATCTCTCGACCGGTAGATTACGCACAGTGTAAGTTTTCCTACACAATTTGATAGGCATATGTAATGAATGAAAAGTCATGAATATGAAACACACGTTGCACTGGATCTTTATTCACTCCATGACAAGTACAACAAAACAAGCGAACGCGGCCAGCACGCCAGGCACCTCCCTTCGTCAGTGCCAAAACCATAACAACGATAAAGGAAAACATAATAGGAATGAACAAAATGCATCGAAAATATAAAACAATGTTAAACAGATGATGAATGAATAATGAAAATAATGATGATAATGATAACGATATTAAAAATAATAATCATAAAATAAGAATGATAATGACAAAGATGATAATTATTAATAATTAGTAATAATTAGAAAACTAATAATGATAATTATAATCAATAAACAAATAATGACAACAAGAAGTGAAGCCAACCAAAGTAAGCAATCATGAGGATATCAAAAAGTAACTTGATTCGAAACAAACAAGAAAATATAAAAGAACAACAACAAAGGCATTGAGAGAAAAAGATTCAAAGATTTGTTCCTCAATTTTCTCTTCCTGGTTTCCTCCGCTTCGGTTTTTCTTTTCGGCCATTGTTTCACCAACGATTCTCTTCTTTCTCTCTTAATTCTATGTCTTTTCTTCCCTTACTCTCCATTCCCCTTTCCCTTCTTCAGTAGACTTGCGTCCTGGAGTAGGGGAGGGCGGGGGGCCACGGGGAGCATGTTGCCGAAGGGCTGGTACCCCCCCTGGTCGGCTACGAAGGTGATCTTGACCGGGACGCCCTCGGGGGAGGTGTAGCTGGGGGGGGGGGGGGAGGGATGGCGATATTGATAACGGCAATAAAACGTAAATGGAATCAGCAACGACAGAAACAGTAATTACAACTACAATGATAATAAGAAAGGTAAAGATAATGTTGATGATGACAGTAATAATGATAATAATGATGATAGTAATAATAATGATAACAAAAATAATAATGATAACAGCAACAATAATACTAATAGTAATGATTATAATAATGATAATAATAGTGATAATAATAATATTGATAGCAATAATGGTAGTTATGATGATGTTTTCTCCTCATTCTTCTCCTTTATCCCTCTCCATCTACTCCTCCGCACCATCCATTTTCTCCCCTTTCTTCCCTTCCTTTCCTCCTCCCCTTCACCCCCCTTTCCCCCTTCCATCTCCTTGTCCATCTCCTCCTCTCCTCTTCCCCCCTCTCCCCATTCTCCCCTCTCCCTTTCTTCCCCTTCCTCCCTTCCCCACTCACCTCCAGTCTCCCTGCGTGACCTGGCCGTAGTTCTGTCGGCCGACCTCGTCCCTGTAGATGCCGTTGCCTGTGCCGTAGGAGAAGGAGTAGCCCCCGTAGGCGTCCTGCGAGCGGTCGTCCTTCAGGATCGGGATCACGACTCTAGGGGCGTAGGGGGTGAGGGGAAGGAGTCCTACGACCACCACCACGGCGCTCTGGGGGCGGGGGGGGGGGATCACACGGGGGAAAAGTCTACTAGTAATAATGATGATAATGATAATATCAATGATAATGATGATAATAATATTTCTAATAATAATGGTGATACAATGATAATCATATTTATTATCATATGACAATAATGGTGATATTCATCATTATGATGATGGTAATAATTATATCTATTATTATTATGATAATGAAAATAATAACAATGATGAGTAATTGTGATAATAATGGTGATAAGACTGCTAATATGAACACTAATCCTACGAGAATGGTGATGGCGTGAAGTAGACGCAAAAAGGATGTGAAGGAGACAAGTTGGTTTGGAAGACATAAACGCCGGGAAAGAAACTGAACCTGTGCCACTGACAACCATTAAAGAAGAGCTAACATCTTTTCCTTACTGTACTTTTCAGTTAGGTGTAACGGAAGGGCGCTTATGTATACATCTGTCTGGTTGTATGTGTCGGTTCGAATATTCACTATGTGTGTGTAATGTGATCTATCGAACATGTAATGACAATTACTGAATGAATATACAGATGCTTGGGAATACCATCAAAATGGATATATTGCATGGTAATTCATTGATAGATATGATATTGAGACTTACAATAATCATGGTATTGGGTAGACATAATCATCAAAAAAGTAAAAATCTCAGATGTTGATTTTAAAAACACGAATGGAAGCAAATGATTCCAAATCAGCACTTGTATAGGTTTCAGTATTACACATCATCATGGAATATCTTCAGGATTATCACGAAACCTTGGTGAAAGAAGGAACATCGAATCTTTAACTCCTTTTTGTAAGAAACAAATTTCAGTCGCTCTTTTTCAACAAGAATTCCGACAAACGCGATCGACGTATTACGCAATCACTCACAAGGGCGATTCCGGCGAACTTCATTTTACTCGAGTTTTCTTCGGATTAAAGGCAGCGGAATCCTCGCAGACGAGCGATGCAACGGGCGAGTCGGTTCCTGCTTGAGGGCGATCTTGGGAGTGGATTGAAGTCGTGAGTCTCTTCCTCTTTATATATGCTGCGTGGGACGGGTGGTAATTGCAGGGAGGGGGGGAGGGGGGGAGGCAGGGCTGAGGGGCGGGAGGGAAAGGTAAGGGTCTGTTTGAGGGGTAGGGGGAGGGTAAAGAATGAAGGGAGACGATGGAAAGACAAAATAGGAGGGGAGAATGGGAAGGAGAAGGAGAAGAATGAGAGAGGAGGGGAAGGGGGAAGGAAGCCGGGTGAAGTGGAGGAGGAGGAAGAGAGTAGGGAGTAGGGAGGACTAGAGAAGGCGGAGGGGGCGGAGAGGAAGAAAGAGGTGGGGAGAAGTGGGGAGGGGGAGAGGGGGGAGCTGCGGTAAAGAAAGGGATTTATGGCGGCATACGTCACACTAGCATCTTTCTACTCCTTCTTCCCTTCTCCTCCCCTTCCCTCCCCACTCCCCCATTCACACCTGCTCCCCATTTCAAATAGACTTATATCACACTTCATGTATCTGGAATGAAACCGACTGGTGTGTTTACTCATGAATCGAAATCATTCTTAGCAATGAATGTACATGGACATAAAAAAGCACGCACATCTTGTGTGAAATATACTTCAGTATATCATTTGCATGCATCATTATCATTATTGTTGTTCTTGCTATCATTATTATTTTTATTGTTATCATTATCATTATTATTGTTAATATTATCATCATTATTGTCATTGTTATAATGATAATGAAAATAGTAATAATTATAACAACAACAATAATTATGATATTAATGATAATGTTGATAATGATAAAAATTAAGTTTATCATCATCATTATTATCATTATCATTATACTTAATATCATCATCATCATTATCTTTATGATTATCAACATTAAAATGTTATTGTTTTAATTATCACAATTATTATATTTATCATTACTGTTATTATAGCCATTATTAAATTTTTTTTCTTCGTCATTATCATTGTTGTTGTAATTACTACTTCTGTCGTTGCTGATTCAATTTACGTTTTATTGCCGTTATCAATATCGCCATCCCTCCCCCCCCAGCTACACCTCCCCCGAGGGCGTCCCGGTCAAGATCACCTTCGCGGCCGACCAGGGGGGGTACCAGCCTTCCGGCAACGTGCTCCCCGTGGCCCCCGCACTCCCCTACTCCAGGACGCAAGTCTACTGAAGAAGGGAAAGGGGAATGGAGAGTAAAAGACATAGAATTAAGAGAGAAAGAAGAAAAAATCTCCAGATTTTTTTTTCTCTCTCTCAATTCCTTGGCCATTCACTTTATTTCTCTTCTTTTACATTTTTTTTTCTTCTTTCGAATCAAGTTACTTTTTAATATCTTCATGATTGCTTACTTCGATAAGCTCCACTTCTTGTTGTCATTATTTTCTATCATTATTAATCATAATTATTAGTATTCTTTTTATTACTATTATAATTTTTATTACTATTATGATAATTTTTATTTTCTTTATTGTTCTAATTTTATCCTTCTTATTTTGAATATCGTTATCATTATTATCCTTATTCATATTTATTATTCATATATTATCTGTTTAACATTGTTTTACATTTTCGCTGCATTTTGTTCATCCTTAATATGTTTTCCTTTATCGTTGTTATGGTCTTGGCACTGACGAAGGGAGGTGCGTGGCGTGCTGGCCGCGTTCGTTGTGTTGTACTGTCATGGAGTGAAGATCCAGTGCAACGTGTGTTTCATATTCATGACTTTTCATCCATTACATATGCCTATCAAATTGTGTAAGAAAATTTACACAGCGTAATCCACCGGTCGAGAGATCAAGGAAAAGAAAACGTTCATAAAATAAGTAGCTTGGTTTTACACTACAAAAGGAGACCCGAGAACACGCATCGTGAAACCCTCGTGATTCTATCACACGTATTCACAGAAGAAGCAGAGGAGCTGACTCCAGGATAACTGCAAAAAGTCCGCATAATTTCCCCAATGGAAATCTGCAAACCCGTTCGTTGCAATGACACCACAGCGCCTTCCTTCTCAGCTGATGAGCTTCTGTTCCTTTCAGAACTCTCCATATATGTATATATGTATGCACACACACACACACACACACACACACACACATACATATGATGTAGTGTGTAATGTATGTGGTGTATGTGTACGTGTGTGTGTAAGTGCCTCATTAGGTTATGGCGCTATTGGGTGTTGTATGTAGGTAGATCGTATATGTATCACAGCTTTATATTATCAGCATCATAGCATATATGATAATATATTTTTCTTTATACTTTTACTACTAGGAAAGAAAGGAGATACAGGATATGACACAAAATATAGGGATATAATATATAACAAAGACATGATCCATAGGTGACCGGATGTGGAGCTTTAACAAAATTATACTCTATAAACACAGCAGAATGAGATACTATAATAACTCGGGTAATATAGTTGACTAACAATTTAGCAACTCAATATATACTAATAAATTAATCGAGAGAATATATGAGTAATAATCAACAAGTAACT